CCCCCAAAACCCCAAAACCCCAAAACCCCAGATTTTAATACTATGAATGAAATAGCCAATAATAAATTAAATTATAAGTAAATGTTAATGGATCAGAAGAAGTTGGGATGTGAGCTTTTGGCAGACTCTACTGATGAAGAGAGTTGAGAATGAGAGGAGAGGATGGATTATTTGTGTGGGTCAATGGTGCCTGGGTTGGAGTTTGAAATGAATCAGGAGAATCTTGTTTCGAGTAAGATTGGAGAAAGAGATCTGAAAGCTAAAATTGAAGAGTACCTTGAAACCGGATCGCTTACAAAGGAGCAGTTGATCCTTTTATTGAAACAAGGAGCTGAAGACAACTATTTGTTTATGATCAAAGAAGAAACTTACTCTAAACTTGTAGATTCTCTTGGAATCCCATTCGATGAACCTACAGATGAAAACGAGCAAAGTTTGGTTCAAAGCTTACGTGCTTCCAAAATTGTCTTTCTTCAAAGCCTTCGGATATCTAGTAATCTTCAGGAAAGCCCTAAAAAATCAGAATCAGGCATTATGGATTTGATGAATACCAGAAAAATTCTTCAGGCTAAGAGTAACTTTGTCCATCAGAATAGTATTATCCAATTATCCAAGAATGATTCCAAATTGACCGATCAAAAAGAATCATCACAAAGTAATTTAGTGAGGAGCACGAAAGAGATTGAAAAAGAAACTCTTAGGACTAGAATCGAAGACGTTTCTAACCAAAGTGACCTAAATCTGTTGGAAAGAGTTCCCAAGATCACCAACCAAGCCCTCAAAGACTGGCTCATCACCGGAGTGATCGGCTGCATCTCAGCCTTGTGCTTCGTCGCCTTTGCTCTGTACACCCACCTCAAAACGAACCCTGTGGTGTTTGCGATGCTTGGCAACCAGCTGATGGTCGCTAAAGGCTGCGCACTTGCGATCATATTTTTGTGAGTGGCAGTCTTGCTTTTTGTGTCCTATGACTTTCTGACAGCAATCAGAGGGTGATGTGGAGGCAAATGACTGTCGCTTCTGGATTCACATTTGTTGTTTCATAAGGTATGAGGGTTTCTGTTGTTCATTTACTCAACCATTCATACTATTTGCCATTGTGCTTGGTCTGTGTCTGCTTTATCCAAAGACGATAACTTCCCAGCCATCAAAGCTAATATCAGCACTTTTGGATTCGACCATTCTCCGAATGTCGCTGAAGTGGTATTCCTGACGATTCCCGGCTTAACAGGCATTATTCTACAGATTGCAATTACACTTATGTTCTTTACTTCTCTGGAATGTATTCGCAGAAGACACTTCCAACTGTTTTCTTATGTCCATATGGTGTTCTTCCCTGTGTTTATCTTCGGAACAATTGCACATGGAGCTGCTCGCTGGCTCAACTGGGGTATCCCCACAGCTCTAGTGCCTTTTATTGTGCCAGTATTAATCTATTTCTGGATGATTGGCAGAAGAGTCATTGATGCAATCAGAAGACCCTTTAAAGTTGTCAAAGTATCCATTGTCAACAACAAAACCTTCATCAACTTGAACTTAGAAGTTCCCAAAGGCTACAAGTGGAAGTCTGGTCAGTATGCATTCATCAACATTCCAGCCATCAGCAAGCTGGAGTGGCACCCATTCTCGATTTCGTCATCTCCTAACGGAGAATACCTCAGCTTCATGATCAAGAAAGCCGGAGACTGGACAACCAAACTTATTGATATGTTTGCAGCCATCAAAGAACAAGGCTTCGCAGACATCATCAATGAAGTGGGAGAGCATGAGTACAAGCGCGAGTTCAGAGACTACCTCATGGAGGTCAACTTCGAAGACGATGAGTCCATTCGTCAGAACAAGAAGCTGTATCCTCGAATCAATGTGAGCAGAGCTGTGTCAGCGCCTGCAGAGATGGCTGCTAGGCGCAAACGCATCATACTCATTGGCGCAGGCTCAGGCATCGCTCCATTCCTTGCTTTCTTGGATGACCAACAAATAGCAGCCGAAGGAGGTAGGAAGACTGTGGGAGGTGACGTATCTCAGATATACAAAGAAGAGTTTAGAAGCACTGAGAAAGCTCATTTGATATTGACTAGTAGAGATGCGGATCAGTTTTCTTGGTTGTCTCCATACATAGATAGGATAATGAGCTCAAAATAAATTTTCTGATAAAGTCCATCTTCACTTGTACTTGACCTCGACTAAGTGTAATTCTCTTCCATCATTCTTGTTTTGGAGAGCTTTCTTAAAAAGACAAGAGATGAAGACTAAACATCTATTACATTCTGGCAACTTAATAATGGGCTCCAACATCACTTTAAACGTTGAGAGGCCAAATTTCGAGAAGATCATTGAAGAGATCAATGTGACAGACCCTGGAAACTTCTTCTGCTACGTTTGTGCATCCGACATGATTGTTAACCAAGCAAAAGCTGCTTGCAGCCTAATCAACAGAAAAGGGAAAGATACCTATGTGTTAAAATACGAGCATTTTTAGAAGTCACATATTCAATATATCGAATAAATCTTGGGGTTTTGGGGTTTTGGGGTTTTGGGG